TTAATGTGGGTGATAAAAGACATGTCCTGATCAAAAATAACACCAAGATTTTTAACATTAGAGCTGGAGGACAGATTAATGCCATCTAAGGAGGTTCTTCTTCTTCTTATCATTATTATTATTAGCAATCATGCCGTAGGTTATTTATTTAACCAAGAAAAAATGTTAACTCTTATAGCTTGCTGTCAGTCACCCTTACTTTAAAAAGAAAAAGAATGACGTCCCTCTGGAAGAGAAGTAGTGATCATTTGTTTTATGCTGTCAAAAACAAAGATAAACTGACGACTGTATAGAAAACCCCTGTAAATATCCGTGTTACCAGAAATATACAGCACGCATATTACTGCTCCAGGCTGATATGTAAGATTTATATTTATAAAATTGTGGATAACTTCAAAGAGACAACTTTATTAGTTTGTTTACATTTCTTCTCTCCTGGTGAGTGCTGTTTGACTATGAGCTAACATCAGGGTGAAGAGCTGCCAGCGTTTGTTAGATCAGCCTTTAGCTCAGTTTTATTTTAATGCTCTGTGAAATTATTGAACTCATATCTGCTCTCGTCTGTTTCAGCAACCTGCACGGCAGCATCCTCTTCCTCACCTGCATCACCGTGCAGCGCTACATGGGCATTTGCTATCCCTTCAGTGTGCGGTCCAACCACGGTGGCTGTAGGATGGCGTGGCGTATTTGTGGAGGGGTGTGGCTGGTGGTCGCCATCCTTTGCGCTCCGACCCTTCACTTTGTTTCAACGGGAGTCCAACGCAACCGCACGGTGTGCTACGATTTAAGCACGCCAGCTCGCTCGGCGGATTACTACCCCTACGGCATGGCTCTGACGTTCATCGGCTTCCTGCTGCCGTTCCTGGGTGTGATCATGTGCTACTGCCGGATGGCCCTGGTCCTCTGTCATCGCACGTCCTCCCAGAGTGTGTCCAAGGTGTTGGTGGAGAAACGGGACAGGGCTGTGAAGATGATCGTCGTTGTGACGGTGGTGTTTTGTATAAGCTTCCTGCCGTTCCACCTGACTAAAACCATCTACCTGCTGGTGCGCAGCTTGCCCGCTACGCCCTGTGAAACGAGGAACTTGTTTTCAATCATCTTTAAAAGCACGAGGCCGTTCGCCAGCATGAACAGCATTCTGGACCCCATCCTGTTTTACTTCACTCGACCAAAGTACAGAGAGTCTATCAGGCGGTCTATGGTCAGCACCAGCGCCATCAAAAGGAAGAGCCCTTCTAGTTGAGCAGAGCGTGCTGGTCGTACTGTTTCAGTGTTACTGGACTGATGCTGGGACTAAGACTGTCCCTGTTTGTGAGTGGATTTTCAACAGGTTTACTTTTATCATAAACTGACACCGAGACTTCTTCCTGCAGTCAGTAGAGACGTTGAGCTGTTTGAAAGGAGCCAGACTTTGTGGATCAGCTCCTTTTTAAAAGCTGTTCGGTTTTGAATGGTTGGTCATGTGGTCCGGCCGTACCTTGTGTCTTGTCAAGCACTAAACCCTCCACCATCCCGAGGAGTGTGAGCATCTGCGTCTTAGGAGCAGAACTCGAGGAGAAAAAAATAAAAACGACTCAAAACGGCACGACTCGGGTTCCCATCGTTCTTTTTACAGAGCCGTTCGTGGTACGTCACCCCTCCAGCTGTCAAGTGAAGAACATCCTCTGAGACGCAACAAAGATGTAATCCTGTGAAATTAACGTCAGGAATTTAGGTAAAGAATGTTTGTCACTAATGTTAAATTAATGTTGAACGTGTGTGTGAAGTGTGTGAGGTCAGAGTCTTGTGTGCTCAGAGAGGAGCTGATTGGAGCTGCATGTACAGCTGTCTGATAAGCACTATAAAAACACTTCCTGCCTCACCGTCCGGAGCAGATACTCACTGACGAGGCTAAGCATGTGACGCTGGTACATCTGTGAAAACCTGTTGTCATGACCGATCTGCCCTTGAAAGTAAAGACCGGTTAAAAACCTTCTTGTGTCCTCAGAGTGGCTTATTTGAGTAAATATATGATGAAAGGATGTTTATTTATCCAACAATTATTATAAACATTATAGTTTATTTTTTTAGTGCCATGTATGTGCTAACAATTCAACGTGCTTTAATATGGGGGGGACGGACCATGAACCGTAGGTAGGCCTGTCACGATAACAAATTTTACTGGGCGATTAATTGTCTCAGAAATTATTGCGATAAACGATAATATTATTTGAAATTTGACAATATTTAGTAATTATTGTCAAATTTAAAAAGAAATGTTAATTTGTTTTGCATGTAGTAACTTTTTTGACCCTCGAATGGCAGTATAAGACTGTTTGAACCGAAGGATGGATAGTGAGGGAGTGAGCAGGGTGCCTCTTAAAAAGATGGGAGGGAGGCTCTTTGACGTGACATGAGCTGTCTCTCTTCGATTCTCAAAATGGCGGACGCTCGGTGTGGTTTGAGCTCTTTAGCATAGCATTTTTCACACAAAGCTTTTAATAAAAAATCAGTAAACAAGTTCTCAGCTTCTTTTTGCTGAAAAAACAACAACTTTTACACAAAGGCACGGGTTTCAACCGTGAATTTTGGAGCTTCGACAAGACAAAGGTTTTTCCCCGAGGTCGGCCTGTTAGCTTAGCTCGTAGGTTAGCTTCTCAGCTTAGCTGCTTTTAACGATCCAAAAACGTGATTTTGGACAGGTAAAACAGATTTTAAAGAGAAAGGGAGGGGTCAGTGAAGAGCACCGGAGCCTTTTATCATCCAGTGTCTTCAGTAGAAAGAGAGAGACATGAAGAAATGATAAAACCGATAAACGAAAATGAGGTTGATAATTTTCATTTATCATGCGATTAATTGATCTATTGTTTGAGACAGGCCTAACCGTAGGTTCAAAAACTGGCACCTTGGTTGGTTCTACAATGTGACTTGTGAGGAGTGAATTTGTGTCCATCTTGAGCCTGACAAATCTTTTTTTTTTTCATATATTTTTCATTAAGTGAGGAATTAATTGCATTTAGTGTGTGTGGAAGATAAATCACGGTGGCCCTGAGGTGTAAATGAACATCATCTGAAAAAACGGAATTACATTAAGTCAAACTGGAGGTGACAGGTATTTTAGAGTAACAGGGTGGACAGGGACTCAATTGAGTTTTAATAATTTAAGCATAAACAATATTTTGATGTCATAAAATTCATTGGTTGAGAACTATTATAAATAGTACTGTTAAAAATAATGTAAAAAAATGACTTATTTTTTTAATTACTTAGAACTGTAATTTAATTTCAGGAAGCATGAAAGGGACATGGCAATAAACCCAAGTTGCATTTAAAATTCAATTTAATTATTTTAGATAAATTCATCTTATATGGTTGTGTTTTATGGTAGAGGGGAGTCAAACATATGAGATTAATAAAATAAATATTAGCCCACCTTTAAACAAAATATACCACATTATGGCATGGGGACTCAAAAAGGCACCGAATAGTAGGAATGACTAGACATTGTTCTGTTGTTGGTGTCTGGTGGTGGTCCCCCTATTCAAAAATGGGGGCCGTAGAGTGTGTTCCAACTACAGGGGGATCACGCTCTTAAGCCTCCCTGGTAAAGTCTATTCACAGGTGCTGAAGAGGATGGTCCGTTGGATGGTCGAACCTCAGATTCAGGATGAGCAGTGTGGTTTTTGTCTTGGTCGTGGAACACTGGACCAGCTCTACACCCTCAGCAGGGTCCTGGAGGGTGCGTGGGAGTTTGCCCAACCAGTCTACATGTACTTTGTGGACTTTGATAAGGCATTTGACCACGTCCCTCCGGGAACCCTGTGGGGGGTACTCCGGGAGTATGGGGTACCTGGCTTTTTGATACGGGCTGTTAGGTCCCTGTACGACCAGCAGTAAGTCGGGCTCGTTCCCTGTGAGAGTTGGACTTTGCCAAGGTTGACCTTTGTCACAGATTCTGTTCATAACTTTTACGGACAGAATTTGTAGGCGCAGCCAAGGTGTTGAGGGGATCCATTTTGGTGGCCTTAGGATCATGTCTTTGTTTTTTGCAGATGATGTGGTCCTATTGGCTTCATCAGATCGTGATCTACAGCTTTTGGTGGAGCGGTTTGCAGCCGATTGTGACGCAGCCGGGATGAGGATCAGTTCCTCCAAATCTGAGGTCATTGTCTTGAGCCAGAAAATGGTCAAGTGACCTCTCCGGGTCGGGGAGGAGGTCCTGCCCCAAGTGGAGGAGTTCAAGTATCTCGGGGTCTTGTTTACAAATGAGGGAAAAATGGAGCGTGAGATCGATAGGCGGATAGGTGCAGCGTCTGCAGTGAAGCAGGCGTTGTAGCGGTCTGTCATGGTGAAGAGAGAGCTGAGTCAAAAGGCGAAGCTCTCAATGTGCTGGTCGATCTACGTTCCTACCCTCATCTATGGTCATGAGCTTTGGGTTGTGATCGAAAGAACGAGATCTCAGATACAAGCGGCTGAAATGAGTTTTCTCCGCAAGGTGTCTGGACTCTCCCTTAGAGACAGGGTAAGAAGCTCGATCATCCGGGAGGGACTCAGAGTAGAGCCTCTGCTTCTCCACGTCGAGAGGAGCCAGTTGAGGTGGCTCATGCATCTGGTTAGGATGCCTCCTGGACGCCTCCCTGGTGAGGTGTTCCGAACACGTCCCACCAGGAGGAGACCCAGAGGAAGACCCAGGACACACTGGAGGGACTATGTTTCTCGGCTGGCCTGGGAACGCCTCGGGATTCCCCCGGAGGAGCTGGCCCAAGTGGCTGGGGAGAGGGAAGTCTGGGCCTCCCTACTTAAGCTGCTACCCCCGCGACCCAACCCCGGATAAGTGGAAAAAAATGGATGGATGAAAAGATGGATGGATGGATGGATGGATGGATGGATGGATTGATTATGGCATAGGGACTCAAAAGGCACAGAATAGTAGGAATGACCTTACTATACATTGTTCTGTTTTATGTTGTAAAGTAAAAAAACAAAAATAATAAACACTTAAAAAAAATCACTACTTCTGCTTTGGTTTAATGTAATTCCATTTTATCAAATGCTGTTTATTTACACCTCAGGGCCGACATTATAACTGGAAAAAAGCACTTGCAAAAGTACAAAAAACATTTAAATGAAAAGTCACGTTTGCACATGTTCAAAGTGCCGTCACCACTAGAGGGTGGAGGTACTCCACTGCACAACAACACATCCTGGAAACACCAAAATTCATGCTCAATAATCCAGCCACAATCCCAACAATGTTCAGTCATCCTGGATTATGTTTAGATCTCCTGTCCTGCAGCCGGTCATGAGCAGAAATAAACTGACGTTCAGTTGAAGCCCAACAAAGTGAGCGATTAGAAAATTAGGTTTTGGAAGTTTTCTTTGAAGTTCTACTGCGTACAAATAAAGTCTGTTTTAATTTTGGTACCAACAAAACTCAGCATTATACTTTTCTTTTTTTGAGAGAAAGAGAGATAGCAGAATTTGAAACTTAAAGGTTTGTGATCAGTGCCTAAATTATGCTTCAAGTTTGGTCCTGAGCGTGTAAATCTTTAACTATTTAAAAATATTCTTAGATCCAGTTACTGGTTTACGAGATGATCACAGAAGAGGTTTCAGTGGATGGTAGCTTCTGTTA